CGTGTATATATATATATATATATATATATATATATCCATTATTTATCTTTAAATTTCTTAAGTTTTTAACTTAGGCCTATAAATGACTGAATGAGACCCTTCATGGCGATAGTTCTGTACTAAACCGACTAAACGTATATTACCAATTTTTAGGTAATTATTAGCTTAATCAGTTTAGTACTGAACTTCCGCCATAGATCTCCACTCATCGGTAAGTTTAACTTGTGGCTTATTATAATTCGTTAAATTACACGTATACATATAACAAAATAAAGTAGTACGAACTCAAAGCTAAATATTTATTTCAATACTGGTAGAGTTTTCAGAACATTAAAGTTGCTTTTCAGCCAATAATGACTCTATTTATTTATTTTTTAACTCAGTTTCCTGTCAAACTTTTCACTTTACAACTATCTCACACCCAGATCAGTCAACAAAGAAACGATGATTTAATTCTTAGATTGATATAACTTTTAAGGAACGTCTCACTTTATTAATATTTCGTACAGTATTCAGATAGTCAAGTTACTCAACCAAAAAAAAAAAAAATACGATTTTTAACTGCAGCATAGTGGCTCATAGAACGGCTCTGAGTTTGTTTTGTTTCTTGTCAAGTACAAACTTTTAACTCATAGCTCCGTCATCTCTTGACCAATTTGCGATCTAAATTTTGGACTCAAAGGGTCAAACCCTTTCGATTGATGTATTTGACCACGCCTAAGGTATCATAGATTAATTTACTCTAATCCTGTCAAGGAGAATTTCAATTTGAGGGTAGGCTAATGGAGATCCTCATGAGTAATAAGATCTAATCGGGTATAGCACGCCCCACGCTTGTTATTTCTGGTGTACAGAAATCTAGCTAATAAAAAAGGAGAAAAAGTTCTCATAGATAAATTTACTGCCTAAAAGAATTCCAAGTGCCGCAGCTATTGAAGATTCCCTCTTGTTTTCTCATTCTTGAGTAAGTATAACTCACTCACAATCTTCTCATTTTATTAATATCAGGAATTAACCAACAGCCAACTATTGAACTCATACTGATTTATTTTATTGTATTTCTGCATGAGTGGATTTTGAGGGTCTTAGTTATTTTATATATGTAAACAGACAGACAGACAGGGGTTGGCCTAAGCATTGGATAATTTACATCATAGGTTAATTTCAATCTCTAGGTTCCAAGTGGGAATTTATTTTTTATTGCGTATAATTAAGGATAATTCAAATAACCTTCATTCATTGTGACATTAATTTAAAAAACAATTAACTCAAAAATATAGTCACTACTATAGCTCTTCATTACTGAAACAAATTGAAATCTCTAAAAATATCGTTTCAAACATAAGGATCACAAATTGACAAAGTCACCACTCAGCTGTAAGAACCTTACCTCTTCCTGTATGAGTGGTATTACCAAAAAAAATCACATATTTCAGTAGATATCGGAAGCTCACTTTTTGAAAACAAAATCACGTTTATGATAATTGTCTTGTATGTAATCAACTCAGATAGGTCGGCGAGAGAAACCTGTCACATAAAACTATGGCAAATATGAAGCTAGATGATACTATAGTCTAATTTTTATATATCTGTAATACTCGAGATGATGCGTTATTTGATCGGTTTTTATTCCTGAAGGAAATTATTGTGAAAAATGGGGATTTTTTTTTGCTAGAATTCAATAACATATTGCTAAAAAAATGTTACGCACATATTAGAAAATGAAATCAGTCCCAAAGAAGTTACAGGAATTTGTTTCTTTACGTTGTCCAATAACCGTGTTTGTGAAATCTTATATTACATTTAACCCAGTAAAGGAACTAATACGTGTACGATTAATTGAGGTTTATCTATCCATCTACCTATTCATCCATCAGCTTATTTTTCTCGACTTTTAATCAATGATTGGTATAACTTACTTTATTGAAGCTTATAGTACCTATAATCAATATCGTGATATTTTGTGGATGATTTGCAAAAATAATCCAGCAAAAGTAAATTACGGGTGGAATTATGTTAAAAGTAGAAAAAGTAACAAATAGAATAAGATTATAGAAAAAAAAACATTATTATCTCACAAAGTTTTATAATAACTGGTATAAAATAAATCATAAACTTCAAATAAAGACATTATTATTAGAAATATGTCCCATACACTTACTATTGAAGATATAGCAGATATGCTTAATAATTATTATACAGATTTAATAAATTCATTAAATAATAGAAATATGTTTTCAGACAATCTATATCTTGATAATATTAATTATTTTCCAAGAATAAGAGATAAGATGTCATATTGGTTTTAAAATCACGTAAAAGACAGATTAATTTGTACTTAAGTCAAAAATATTTATAATAATTATAGAAAATTCACGTCTGATGTACCACAAGGTTCTATTTAAGGCCTTCTTTTTCTAATGTATTCAAATGATATAGCAGGTATTCCTTTAAATTACACTACTTATATGTATGTAGATGTCATTGCCTTAGTAATAAGTGATTATAACCTTACTTTAGCAATGTATAATATGCAAAGTGATTTTAATGATATTTTGAAATGGCAGAACTTAAATCATATCTATTTAAATACAGATAAAACTAAATGGATGTCTATTCATACTCCGTGTAGAATAATTCCAAACCATCCTCTTTTGTTTGACTAAATGTATTTCGGAAAATACAATTAACTTTAGGCAATCATGTGCTTGTACAACAATTAAAAATGTAACAAAATTTATATATTTAGGAATTATCATAGATTCTAATTTTCTATGGAAATCACGTGTGGAACACATATGTACCAGATTCAGATTTTATACGTGTAAAATCTCTAAACTTCAGTTTAATACTCTTCCTTCTGTATACCAATTGGTTTATACATCTCTATGTGAATCTGTGATTCGTTATGGTATAACAACATACAGGTCTATTTACAATATTTATATAAGCTAAATATTGCAGTTACAAAACATTATAGTATAAAATATTTCACCAATAAGAAAAAGAAATAATATGGTTGCTTATGAAAGATATATATAACTTTGATTGTAATGAATGTTTAAATTATACCAATACACTATTATAATCTCCTGAAGAAGAATAGACAACTATTCGAAAGAGCTCCAGTTTTGGGTCTCGTTTTGAAAATATTACAACTTTTGTAGGTGATCCTGTGTGCTAACTACTTAACCTACTTAACTTAATAAATCGTTATTTTTATCGTCTTTTAATGTTAGAATAGATCATGATGAAAATACAAGTTAAAAAATTAATTAAGTTATCAAGTACCAATTTTATTTAATACAATTGAAAGAAATTCAATAGATATTAAAACATATGGTAATATTAAAAGATTTATAAGAAAAACTCATTATCAATACAAAAATAACCATATCAACTAATATATTTACAATCAAAAAACATTCAAACTGAGTATGTATTATATCATAATATGATTGTATTTTATAAATACTGTGTCATCAGTTTTAATTTAGTTTATTAATTTCTAAGTATTACATTTTTTGCGGATAGCTTCGCGGGATAGTATATGAATATATCAGGTTGTATTAATGAAATATCATCATATTATAATAACGATATAGTATAATGAGTTGCTAATTGAATCTTTGTTTCTTTTAGATAACCTATAAATGGATAAGAAAAATATTTGTTAATTTATTTATAACGTACGTTGTTATCGTATTAACACTTGTGCCTCTATGATAGTAATATAGAACATAAAAAAACCGTTATGACAAAATATTTTCAGTTATATCTTGAGTTATGATGATTGCTTAACATTGGTCTAGATATTTGGTTATCATCTCGATTTATCCCGTTTTCGTGTATTGTGAATATCAGTGATAAAGGTTTGCTATAAAAACCCGAAACCTCGTCTTAAACAAGCCTCAAGGGTGGATAAAACTCCCAATAGACTTTTGGAGATAAATCACCTTAAAACTTATGTCAGAAACAAGCTTGTCAGTAAATGAAATACAAATAAATGATGGTGAAAATCTGGAAATAAGTAAGACCTACTTAAAATCCACTAGCAAGTACTTTCATACTTTCATTACCCACTTATCGTATTGATGGCGTGAATAACAGTTAGATCTTACTCTGCATTATTATAATGATAATATGGATAATAGTTGAAGAAGTTTACCCTAACTAATGATATTGGGAGCCCCGGGTTGGAGGATTTTATTCTAAGCCATTTTGTTTCTAAGGCTAAGTTAATAGTATCATAATCCACTGCTAAAGTATAGTATTTATTGCATAGTTTAGAAGTTGTTTTGTTCTATTTTATCTTTAGTTCCAGTATTTATCACACTAGAGAAGAAGGAAACTATCCAGTTGGTCAATGGCTTCGTGTATTTATCATGTGATGTTTTGGCCTACCCACGTGCTACAGTAACATGGGAAAAAAATGGTCAGAAAATAAAGCAGGACAATAAACATTTCCAAATAAAGACTATTAATGTCGGAGTGGACACCGTCCGAGCGGCGGTTTTGATTGAACATTTGAGAAGATCAGATAATGGGACTTATACTTGTGTTGCGTCCAACAAGTACAACATGTCAAAGAAAGCACAATACGTAAGAGTTGATGGTATGTTTCTTTCCTGTCATTGTTACTTTCCGTTGTTGTTAGTATCATATGTATTATTTTAACATTTCAAGATGAATTAGAAGCTCTTTATAGTATTATTTTTACTCAATGTTGTTTTTTATTTACACTATACTATTAGAAGAGTCAAGCATGTTCCAGTAGTTATCGTGCCAGACTGTGGAGCTAAGGTTTCCTGGTTCGCATCTTGTTACCACGAAATCAAAAACAATAACGCTTTGCACTTTGGGTGCTTTATAAGAGCGACAATATAATCCCATTATTCGATCGAATAAGAGTAGTCCGAAACGTTTATGGTAGATAATGTTGACTATCTGCCTTCCCTCTAGTCTATCACTTCATAGTTAGAGCAGATAACCCTCTTGTCGCATTGTAGCTTTGGGCGAAATCCAACAGACAAACAATATTATTATAACATGTCATTTCAAGGATATCTTAGACAGTGTAGATAGAATTTTGGCTTTAATAGACTGCGCCTGCCTGCTTGTAGAGTGTTTCGGCTTTTATACTGAGACCTTCTTCAGCTTCAATATGGTAACCAAAACGTCGTCTCACTCTATAAACTGGCAAGAGCAGTCCATCAAAGTCAAAACTATAATTGCAATGCGTCAAACAGTGTGGAATGTTCTTACCTGTTTTCAAAAAAGACGGTGTTTACTGAATATACTTGGAAATATTTAATATTCAGTGCTGACTGACGATACTTGGACATGTTTAATATTCAGTGCTGACTGACAATACTTGGAAATATTTAATATTCAGTGCTGACTGACGATACTTGGACATATTTAATATTCAGTGCTGACTGACGATACTTGGACATGTTTAATATTCAGTGCTGACTGACGATACTTGGACATGTTTAATATTCAGTGCTGGCTGACGATACTTGGACATATTTAAAATTCAGTGCTTATTGAAAATACTTGGACAAATTTACAACTCAGTATTTAATTAATATACAAAGATATATTACTCACTCAATGCTGACTGAAGATTCTTGGACATATTTAAAACTGTGTTGATTGACTGAAGATACTGGGACATATTTAAATCTCAGTGTTGACTGAAGATACTTGGACATATTTAAATCTCAGTGTTATCTGAAAATATTTAAACATATGTAAATCCACAAACGAACAACGTTTTGTAATACACAATTAGAATATTTATTTAAACCGATAACTGGTTGTAAAAGTCACTATACTTGTTTCAACATGGTTTCACGTCATCTTCAGGAGTGTGAAAAACGATTACTGTGTTCTATATAAGTACAAAGCCATAGTCATGTGACACTAGTTTACAATTCAAAAAATGAAGATCATTCCACCTACATACTTCCTGATTTTCTGACCCTTCATTCTTATTTAAGATCAAGTTGTTTTTAGTTGAATTTTAACCTTTTAATAGTACTTTGACATATTTAAAACTCAATGCTAATTGAAAGTACTCGGATGCTTGGTTGTATTTAAAAGTGATGGGAACAAACTATTTTTCCTCCATAATCGTATATTTTATTAAAGAAACTACAACAGTAGTACAAATGGAGTGCGAGTAGTGTAAACCCGAAAGGTTGAGACAATATTAAAAAGAACTCAGGAGGAAAAGTTCGTTTAGTTTTTTTCTCTTTATGTTTAAAGTATGCAATTTAAATGCATTATTTTGACATTTGAAGCTAGATGATGCATTTATTTACAGTATCATTCTTATTTATAATTTTTATTGGCACAATTTATATCACAAGTTAAAAAAGTAATAGCGTGTTTGTTTGTCATCATTATTCTTAATATTAGATGTATTAGTGTAGCATGTCAGAGTGGATGGCATGTCTAGTACTCGTCACTATTCTTGGTATTAGATGTATTAGTGTAACATGTCAGAGTGGGTGGCATGTCTAGTACTCGCCATTATTCTTGGTATTAGATGTATTAATTAGTGTAACATGTCAGAGTAGATGGCATGTCTAGTACTCGCCATTATTCTTGGTATTAGATGTATTAATTAGTGTAACATGTCAGAGTGGATGGCATGTCTAGTACTCGCCACTATTCTTGGTATTAGATGTATTAATTAGTGTAACATGTCAGAGTAGATGGCATGTCTAGTACTCGCCATTATTCTTGGTATTAGATGTATTAGTATAACATGTCAAAGTAGATGGCATGTCTAGTACTCGCCACTATTCTTGGTATTAGATGTATTAATTAGTGTAACATTTTAATAAAATTATATTATTTCAGCCAAAAGGGCGAGAGGTGGTTAGATTACCCCCCCCCACCCCACACACACACACACTACACTTTTAGAAAGAACGAAAAGAGCCACTGAAGGGTAGGATAAAGAAACATCGTGTATTAGACAGTGTGTAAAAAAAATTGTCTTCATTCACAAAACCACACAAGAAGTGAAGAAATGCGTATATAGGAAGTCATCTCCGTTTTTAAATTACGTATCGTGGGAAGTAGCATTACATTAGTGTAGTGGTTTTACCTCGCATAACGTTAGATTCTCTCCTAGCGTAACGTTAGATTCTTACGTAGCATAACGTTCGATACGAAAAAGTTTTGTGCATGCATAAAACACATTTCCATGCATTTATTTCATCACTTTAAAAACTTATGTTCACGTGATCCAGATCTACTTAACAATGGTTTTTATAGTCTATTCGCTGCAATCCTAAAAGAACTAAAGGTTCTACTTACAGAAAATAGACGAAAACCCTCTACAATATTCTTGACGTTGTATAAGTACCTTGTTAAAAAGGATAACTTCTTTACCTTTAAACTCGAAAATGTCAAAATACACAATATGCCAGTTTAGCCGTGACTAATCGATAAATAGAAGTTCTTATCATCATGTCCAGAATAAGATGTTTTCTTTCTATACTTTACCAGCACTCTTTTCTACCAAAATATAGTTATTTTCCAATTTAAAGTGCATTTCCGCTGTCCTAACCAATCGAAAAATCTCTTCTATTCATTCTTGATTAGAGATGCATAATCTTTAGTATCACCAGGTTCGTATTTTCCATGTGATTATGAAGTTTTGAAATTGTACATGTGATCTTGTTTATTGTTGTATTGAACATGTCCTTCACGTACGATCAATTTAAAATCTTGCTCGAGTTTCAGAATTTACTTTTAATATGCAATACTAATTCCTAATTTCCCTATTGAAATTAAAATATATATGATTTTTCCTGTTTTTGAGATTCTTTAAAATATGTTTTTACAGATAATTTTTGTTAGTGGAATAACTAGAAAAAGATATTTTCGCAAAACTATATTACGTTGTTGTTATAAGAATCATGCTAGGACAAAACTGTTCATAATGCAGATGATGATTGATTAAAATATGTCCCCTTTCAGCTAAATGTATTTGAATTTGGGGTTTTGGAAGATGTTTCATATTATTTTGATTTTATTCGATTAAACAGAACCACCAGAGGTCAGCTTGGACGAAATTAAAGCAGATAATTCACGGACAGCGTCACTGAAGTGGCACACCACGTTCACAGGTAACATTCCAGTCATCCGCTTCCACCTACGAGTGAAGAACTACAGCACTGGTGCCGACTGGATGGACGTAGACAACAACATTGCTGCTAATATCACGTCTTACACAGTTCGCCAATTGGCTCCAGCTATGACTTATGGGTTTCAAATTGCTGCAATTAACAAAGCCGGCTCGAGTCAATGGAAAAGTGTTAATATCACTATGCCTTCTGATGGTAAGCCCTATTCTTCAGATCAAATATTTTTAACTACATCTCTAATAATGTATTACCTTTTCTTCCTAATCGAAAGTGGTTTGGCTCATCAAAATATTTCCCAAAATGAGTTTATTCAAGGGAAACTTTATAACTAATCCTTCACTAACTTGTATTTAATTTCTGAGAAATGACGGGCATGAAGAGATTATACATATAGTTGATGCTAGGATTCAAGCTATGTTTTTACAGAATAATACCGGCTTTTGAAAAAAAAAGGACAGCTTGAAAAAAATAGAATAAAAACGTGTATTTCTATGTTCAATATTATTTAAAATCTTGGTTGTTTTACGGAAAATGAGTTGGTGAGATGAATGCGCCCTTAAACGTTTAATTTCAATTAATCCTTCTCTAGATAAGGTTTAGAAGTTTAAATATTGAATAAAAACCTGAAAATAAGCCAATTTAAAGAAAGGGCATTCTCCAAAATTACCGAAAGTTTTTGCTAAGTTCTAAATATTTTTTTTGCGATTAATAATGTGAATTATAAAAGCATTACCGAAAATTGTGGCATTTGCAAGATAAGAACAACACAGAAACAAAAGAAAAGCTACTGTTATTCACTTTATAGGTAATGTTTGAAAATTAGCTTGTTGAAAAATGTATCACGAATTCACATTTATGTTCCAAAAATATTTGATCATTTTTCATTACAATTTCATTTTCGGGTGACTAGCTTCTCATAGAAATTCTTGTTCAGCCAATACCTACTTGAAGACACTTGAAAAGAAATCCTACTCAGTTTGTTTTTTTTCACACTGTTACGAAAGGTATTTCTATTTTACATATCTTCAGAAAACGCCCCATTTTCGTATCTTGCTAGCTTGAAAAATGCAGGAATATTCACCACACATAATGCACATGGAACGTAGTAAAAACACTATATACATTCTATAAGGTTGTTATTGACGTGGTAGAAACCTTAAACTACTGATTTATCGATATTATTTAAACATTTAAAAAAATGAGGCATCTTTTACCGAAAAATCTCAAAAACTGAAATATATTAAAGTACATATAAATAATGATTATTTCTCATTTTAAAGTTTTCCTAAGTCTTTAATGCAATTCTATAATTTCTCATCTTTGCAGACATGCTTTTGTTGGCCCGGCATGGCCAGGTGGTTAAGGCACTCGACTCGCAATCTGAGGGTCGCGGGTTCGAATCCCTGTCACAACAAGCAT